GTGCTGCTCCTGCCTTTCTCTTCCAGACCTCCCCTTGGTCTGCATCTCTTGCTCAGTGAAGCTTGGCTCAGGTGAGGCACAAATAATGCAATTCAATTCACATATAGGACAAATAAGGTAGTGTTTGTGTTTGCTTGCAGAAAATAATTCTGATGGACAACTCCCACGTCTGTTTACTTCTTAAGCTATGCACACAATCAACCCATTTCCAGTAGGTGAAAGCCTAGGATTTAGGAAATATCCTTGGTTTGTTTGGTTAATTAATTTGATAAAAGCTTTGTTCAGGAAGGCATCTCCACTCAGCAAAAATGCCAAAGTTTGTACTTCAATTCAAACAAATGCAGAAATCCTGCTGAAAAGGATTTGTTAGGTGTATAATGGTAGTTTTGTTCTTAAATATTTAGCTAACTTGAGTGGTTATTAAACATGCTTGCGTGAGTTTCTTGAATGGAAATCTGAGAGGGTACTGCGATAGGAAAATATCCCAAATCTGGGGTGATAAGCTGTCTGGAGCACTGAGTGGGGGCAGCTGCCTGTCTGTGAATGGCTTCTGGTCTGTATTAGGGAGGGACTGATATGCTGCAGATGACAATTTGCCAATTGGGGGTGACTCAAAGCCTTTATTTTCTGCAGGATGTGAAAAACACATTGGAAACAACAGCATGGGGTAAAAAAACCTTCAAAACTTTACACATGTAGTTGTGGGCTCTAACATGACTGTTGCCAGTAAGAAAAGAGGTTTTAGAGCTTCCACATCTGCTCGGTCCTCATTAGTAGTTATGCTAAAAATTATTAGGAAAGGTGAATAGAAAATCCCCTCAGGCTGCTGTTTAAATACATGGTGTTTTTACATCTTGAGTGCTGCATGAAATTTGTTTGTCTAGCTCAAAAATGATCTAGCAGATCTGGGCAACCTCCAGAGCAAGGCAAAAAGGATTATCAGTAGTATGGAACAGCTCTCTCAAAGGGGTGATTAAATGATCCAAGGCTGCTTGGTGTGGGGAAAGAAAAAAGGTGTCCGGGGGGAAGATACATGGGAAAATATAGAAGTAGGAGTTTGGTGGAGAGGAGGAAGTTGGTTGGTCTTGTAACTCAGGAGTCCAGAACATCAAATGAAATTATAGAGTAGTAGATATGGTACAAACAAAAGAAACCTTTGGATTTTTTCTGACAGGGGTAAATTATATTGCCAAAGTCATTGCCAAAATGGAATCAGATCTTGAATTGTCTTTTGGACTGGGGACCAAGAACTAAAGTTTTCAGAGGGCAGGATCCTCTAACAGAAAAGGGCACAAAAATGTCCCGAGCCACCTAGGAAAGATCTTTTTCAGTTAGCAAATTAAGCCTTGCTGTCGCAGAAAGGGAGTCTTGTGATCTTACCCAAAGATTTAGGAATCCCCCTATTAAAACTAGATAGCATTTTCCTAACCTACTCTTCTGGTTGGAAATCTGTTATTGATAGACGTGAACCATCTTCTAAATTGCCAGTCCTAATTTATTCATGACTCAGGTGAATGTATTTGCTCTTGTACCAGCCTTAACCCTCAGCATGAGAGGCTTTTCTTTCTCCCCTGGTGTTTATTGCCCTCATATATTTTGTAAAATTGCAGAAAAACAATGTTGCAGGGAAACATTCATGGTTAAGTAGTCCTTACCCTCACTTCAAAGCCAATCCTGTCATCCTGATAAAATTCCTGATTGATATTTGTGTAACCCATTTATGGAGACATTGAGCAGAGAAAATATCCACACTGTACTTGGCTGGTGCATTCTGGTGTTTTGCTTCTCCACCTTCGCATTCAGGAACAGAAAATGTGCTGCTTCATTTTTTACTTCAAAGGGGAGAATTAAAAGAGAATGTGGAAGAATGAAAAAGCTTACTCTCTAGCCATCTAGGAAACCAGACAGGAATAAATACATAAAAGGAACAGTCAAAAGGGTCAAATTTTTGGATTATAGCATAAATGCTTTAAGTAGAAGCTCAGAGTAACTGTATGCTACCCATGAGAAAAAAAAAATAAAGAGATTATAGTCAAACTGTGCAGTAAAAAAAGCTGCCAAGGAAAGCTAGAAATGGTATTTCAACATTCATGTACACACATGAAAAGACATGCCCAAATTCTGGAAAGTTAAATGCTAAACCCTTAGAAGAAGAGCTTTGAGGAAAAAAAAAAAGGGGGGGAGAGGGAGGTGGGTGTGGAGCTGAGCCTGCTAAATGCACTTTCCACCTCCTACATACATCAGAAAAAGAGATGTTGCTGTCAGTAGGGATAATAAATGATTGAGACACAGTCAGGGGCATCCAGAAGGGATCAGACTATGTAATAAAAAGGCATTAAAAAAATTCATTTTGAGTAAAGTGAGGAAGATTTCTCATATTGCAACATCTCTTTCTGGGGTGTTTTTCTAACAATCTAACTGAAATTACTGATAGAAAAGGTTTCCAAGTAAATTAGCAGGAAGAATAGTAACCAAGTGCAAAAGCTAACTAATATTCACACAAGAGGTGTCAAGAAATGTAAGTATGAAAGTGTTGACCTACCAGCTCTTTTATTTTCATATACTCTTCAAATAGCTCTTGGTACCACAGAGATGGAAAGTGGTAAATATAACAAATATTTTTGAAGTAACATCTTGGAGCATCTGGTGTAAACTGTAATTAAGAATGGAATGAGTAGGCAGTTGGATAAATTGATCCAGTAAGGAAAAAACAACTATGCAGCTTTTATAAAAAAAAACTATTACCATACAAATCTATTGAAGCTGTCTGCAATGTGTGTATTAATAACAAGAATCCAATCAATACAAAGTACCAGATTTTTAAAATCTTTTGACAGAGATTCTCCGACCAGTCTTTTAAAGATATCAGGGGATGAGAGCAAAGGTTAGTTAATTTGTATATCTTGTTGCTATGCATTAATTGTAATTAATTTATTCAAAATACATTTTTTTTTCCTCTCTTAAAAGATAAGTAATGAAGTGAAGAGGTAATGGCAATCTATACCTAGGACCTGGTATGTTTTGCAGTCACAGGTGATTGCAAAAGGAGTGATTAGGAAGCAATAAAATTTCCTGCTATTTTCATGCTAGTCCAGAAACACAAATCTAAATTTGCCATTGAAATGTTGAAGACATTAAGTGACCGGCTGACAAAACAGCAGACAGAATTCAGTGTCAATAAATGCAAAGTAGTACAATGGAAAATGGTGCTAAGTATGTGTACATAATAAGGGGCTTAGGTGAAATATTTTCCAGGAAAAAAGAGGTTGAAATTATGGTGAGTTCAATGGAAACAACAGCCAAAACTTTTTTCACCTCCCTTCTCCCATTGAAATAAATGTTATATATCTTTCTAAGAAGCCTGTAGATTCTCCTAGGTCTCAAGCTCCTTCCTCCAGTATCCTCCCTGTTATACGAGTGCAGACCCATGGTATTGTAGTGACTTTACGTCTAGGACAACTTTGCATTTTCCTAATTCAAAATGCTGAGCTCTTCAATTTAGTTAACTACTACTTATTTTTCCACTAGTATGTCAAAATTTACCAGTCCAGATCTGGAAAAAGAAAACTGTAGATGTCAAAGTGAAACACTCCATCTGGGCAGTGGAAGTAATTAACTGCAGGGAGAGATTGCCCAGAGGTGACAGCAAACCATCCTTCACGTCAACTTTTTGAGTGAGATCAAACTCCTCTGCTTTGAGGTCAGTGTTGGTTCAGAAGCAGGACTTTGGGCTTGGCACTGGCTGAACTCCTGTGCTTCACAGTCCCCACCTCAGCTCTCCCAATGCCTCTTTCCTTGCCACCATCTCTACTGTACATGCACTTCTCCCCCAACAAAATGCTGCTTGAACCGTATTGCATTTACTAATTAGGATAGCAGTTACTAATTAAGTTTAAATTCCAATGTACCAATCAAATTTTATTTCCTAATTGTGCTACATTATCACTAATTAGAATAGCAGTTTTTACTTAATGGATTATATTTAAATTAAGATGTCTCCATCCAATGTTTTTTCCTACTTACATTTTAACTAATTGGTACTGCAATTATTTAGTTACGTTGAAATTGAAAATATATCAGGCTGGTAGGGAATCATATGATAGTTTGCTTACGTCTGTATGATAGTAGTAGGAATGATTAAGATATAGTCCAGTTAATTAGTTCTGGAATCAAAATAATTTCCTAAGTGTTTGAATAAGAAGTGAATGTATGCTAGTCCCTCGCCACAGCATTAAGGAGGAGCATATTATGGGCTCAGTGAAAATCTAATGTGGTTATGGGTACTAATCAGCTCAGATACTATCTGCAAATGTTTGGGCTCAGCTTCAGGAGGGAATTTAAATATATACTTATAGGGATGTCCTTACTGGTCATCCCACATTTCTGAATCAGTCTTTTGATTCCTACTTGTCAGGACTTTACTGATTCTGAGATAGATTTAAGGTTGGAAGGGGCCACTGAAGATCACCTGGTCCAACCTCCCTGCTCAAGCAGATTTCCCTAGAGCACTGTGGCCTGGACTGTGTCCAGATTGTTCTTGAATATCTCCAGTGAGGGAGACTCTAGAACATCTCTGGGCAGCCTGCTCCAGTGTTCTGTAACCCACTCTTGTTCAGGTGAAACCTTCTGTGCATCAGTTTCTGCTCGTTGCTTCTTGTCCTATTTCTTGGCACCACTGAGAAGAGTCTGGTTCCATCCTTTTGGTATGGTCCCTTCAATTAATCACATACATTGATAAGGTCCCTCTCAATCTTCTCTGATCCAGGTTAACCTGGCTCAGCTCCGTCAGTCTTTTCTCCTAAGAGAGATTTCCCAGTCCCCTAATCATGCACAGCACTCCAGATGCACCTCACCAGGGATGAGCAGAGGGGCAGGATCAGCTCCCTGGACCTGCTGTCAGTGCTCTTCCCAATGCACCCCAGGATACCATGGACCTGCTTGGCCACCAGGGCACATGGATGGCTTGTTGTCCCTCAGGTCCTTCTCCACAGAGCTGCTTTCCAGCAGGTCAGCCCCAGCCTGTGCTGATGCCTGGGGTTATTCTTTACCAGGAGCAGGACCCTGCAGTTACCTTTGCTGAGTTTCAGACAGTTCCTCTCTGCCCATCTCTCCATCCTGTCGAGATCCTGCTGAAGGGCTGCACATCCCTCTGGGGAATCAGCCACTCCTCCCAGCCTTGTGTCATCTGTGAACTCGCTGAGGAGACATCTGCCCCTTTGTCCAAGTCATGGTGAACACGTTAAACAAAGCTGGGCCCGGTATTGAGCCCTGTGGGACACCATTAGTGACAGGCCTCCAAGTGGACCCTGTGCCACTGACCACGACCCTGAGATATGCTGTTCAGGCAGCTCTCCATCTAATAGTGATTTTGTGGTGGCTAAGAGAGAAAGGGCTTTGAACTGTTGCTGACCATGCTGTACCCTATTCTGTAACACCATCCAAATAGATGTTGGTAGTGCTGCACAAACACAAGGCCTATACCAAGTGCTGACAATTAGCAAAGAAGTAAACAGCAGCCTTAAATCACAGATACGTGTCACAGTCCAGGAATGAGGTTTATTACCAAGCTAGCTAGAGCACGGAGAGGGAATCATCACTGGCTAAAGGAGCTGTGATTCTTGTTCTCTGCTGACTGTGGCCTTAAAGCAGCATGTGGGGGCTGCATTTCAGATTGCAAATGCCATGACCTGGGTGTTTTAGTGGCACAGCCCTGCAGCTTGCACACCGTGCTTGTCCTTCCCAAGTGCCAGCTGACCCTCGCTGCTATCACCTGAGCTCAACAAAAATAAGGGACTTTTCTTGTGAGCAGAGCCCATGGAGATGAAGAGCTACAGCCTTGGAAAATCCTTCTGTATTTTCCTTTTAGTGCCACTGGAGACCTAAAGAGGAATGGGGCAGCATTCTTATGGAAACTCTGCCTTTTGTTTTTTATGATCCAACATATAAATCTTGACTGCTTGAAAGCAGCCAGGCAGTTTCGTAACAGCATCATGACAGAAGAAAATATCTGGGAAAAGAAGTCTAGAACAATTTATTACCAATTTCAGGGTTGCAATATTATTAAAAGCAGATGAGGGTGGGTATAATGACTCAACTGATATATAACAGGCTAACAAACTTCCTCATAATAGGTGACGTTTAAGAAAAACCAACACAATAAAATTAATAAATAGATGAGGTAAAATGAGAGTTAAATTAGAAGGATAAGTTACTTCACAGGCAGAAGGTCCCATTCAAAAATGTTATTAAATGCAAAGTTATGTATCCCTGAGGTTTTAAAAATATTTCAGCAGTATCAGCTCACCTCACTTCCCCACCCTAAGAGAAGGTAAATTTCAAAAAAGGCTCATATTCATCAGTGCCTTCTTCTTCCCCCTAACCTATGCTTTTGGGGCTTTACAGAAGCAGACTAGAACTCCAGAGAAATCCATTAAGAGGAATCCAGTCCTTTCAAAAAACCTGCACCATGTAAGGATAAATGCAGAAGAAAAGATATCAGAAAGTCAGATTGTCCTCATATTAAAAAAGATGGAGTTTTGAAAGTCCTGTAACAGCCAATGTCATCAAAAGCTCCTGGTGTATTGAAAAAGAACATAAAATGTCAATGGAAAACTACTTAATAGAGGCAGAAGGATCAGTTTGAGAGGTAGGAGATGATAAGCCAAGCTAGCAATGTATGTTTGAGAGACTGATTGTGTCCTTCATTGTAATGCAGCTATAGACATGAAGGCAGATGCTGTATGATTATTCTTTAACAGTGAACTATGAGGGGATTTTATCCATTTTCTTTCTAATTTACTCTGACTTTGTAAAACTGTGGTACTCCAAGCTCTGCTTCAGCATGCTAAGGACTCCTGTCTGTACAACGTGAACAAATGATGAAAGACCTGGGCTGTATTTTTCCATCTGTGTGACTTATTTTAAGGCAGAATGTGAAGTCTTTTTCCTGATAAACTTGGATGGCTTTTAGAGTGTAGCTGCTTTTGACTGAAATGGGGATCCCAGCTGAGAGTCATGGCCAGGCAAATTTCTCAGAGTTGGGTCAGCTCTGAATGGAAACTACAAATCTGCCACTGGGTGAATACCCAAGGGATGCAAGCAAGCATCTGTGGGCTACTCATAATTAATATAATATACACCCCATCCTCAAAATATCTGCATTTCACCCTCTGGCTTAAATAATAGAAACAGGAGGACACCTTGGGTTAGATACACAACTGGTAAAATTGCATGGAGATATCCTGATTTACTGCAGTGGCATCTGTGCTGTACCAAAGAAATGATTTCATGGGCTGCAATTCAATAACCACCTTTGATGCTTACAGGAGGTACCCTTAGCCAAACCATATAGGGACCAGTAGGAACACTTCTGATTGAGTTAGTTGCTGTGAGAATATTATGTCATGCCACATCATAACTTTTTTGTGCTATGTATTGCTTTTAGTGATGTTTCCACATATTTCTGTTTTCTTAAACTCATGGGGTTCAGCACACCAGCTTTGGATGAAAAAAAAGAAGCAGGTTCAGACCCTTGCCCTCTGAGTTGCAGTCATCCAAAGAGAAAAATTGCTCTGATTCAGACTAAAGAACAGAAAGAAGACTTAGATGAATGCTGTAGCCATAAGGCTGCATGCGGGAGAAGCTTAAATTTTGTTTAGTATGAAGGTGAGGGAACCCAAAACTATGGGATTCCATTTTTACAAAAATTACCCAGTGGGGTCTGGTCATGCTCCACACTATGGCTCAAGACCTTCAGACCTACCATGAAATGTGTACAAGCTTCCTGTCTGGTCAGGTTTATATTCAAAGCATTATCTAAATCTAGCATACAATAGTGCTCATGCTTTCTTATATAAAAGCATGGACGGTACAACTGAGCATAAATGGTATGAAATCAGTAGGGAAGCATTACTGTTAGAGGCTCTGATTGCAAAATCTGAACTTCAACGTACTATTTTTGTTCTCAGTAATTTAAAAGGTTTAAAAAAATTATACAAAGCACCGTGTAAGTGTGTAACTATGATAACTATGGCAAACTAGTTAGCAAAACCTTGGAGCAGTGTTTAAGTTAGACAGACAGAGTTTATTTTATTTAACTGTAATTCTGGTGGAGAAATATCTTCTGATCCTTCTATGTAATTCTTCCAGCTCAGCCCTCACCCCACACAGATGGGAATTCATTTGCTAAAAGGACAGTTGGCAGCAAAGACCATCCTGAGCTTTGTGGGCTATGTCTCTTCAGGAGACATTATTATGGCAAACACTCCCTCTGTGCTGAGACATTTAAACAATCTTCCCGGCAATGTTAAAAATGTAAGGTGTGCATGATTATGAAATATAACTATACAATGACTTTCATATTTAAAAAGCAACAGAATGTTTTCCAGCTGCGGCCAGTAAAGTGTCAGAGTATGATATTACTCTCAGCGTTCATTTCTGAAGGCAAAACTATTCCTGCTTCCCTCTCTCCATCTCTGAAGTGTTCTCCTCCACACCTGATGGTCTCTGTTGTTTGATGCAAGCCTTCATTATTCATTAACTTCTGAAACTGACTGAGAAATACAGACCCAGAAGGCAGTCCAGCACTAGTGAAAATTCTCCCATTTCTTTCACAAGGACAGCATGTTCATAGATATAATCCAGATAAAAATCTCCTGCAATCCAGATAAAAATCTCCAGGGCAGTTTTGCTGAAGATAAGAGAAATATTCCTTATAGGAATGCAGCAAATACCTGCCAACTTTCTGACTGAGCAGAAGGTCATAAAGCAAGTATAACTCAGAAAAGCAGAGGAATATATAAGCATCAGAATGAGAGGTGAGAATTAAAAGCAGCTTTCGTACATGTGGGAGTGGAAAACAGCTGAATAAAACAAACTCAATATTAATGCCAGCATGGTTTTCTGTCTAACAAAATGCAAAGCCATATGTGTGGAGCAAAAGCAAACGGCCACACTGATTCCCAGACCTGGAAGAAAAGCCAGAAGGAAAAGGAAAGGAAGGTGAGTTGGGAGCAGCAACTACTGGATGCTGCCAGGATCTCTGAGACCATAAAGAATGTGAGAAGATGTGGGACATGAGTGCATTGTGATGTGTTTGCCTTCAGTGAATATCAGAGTAACAGCAACACAATTCTGTGGATTGAAATTCAACCAGTGACACAGCCCAGTCACAGACAGGTCAATACTTTTGCTGTCATGGATAACAGATGTTCTGTCTGAAGGGGCCAGGAAGCCATCTGCTTATGTCCTCATCTACAGAGCTCCACAGCTTCAGAGAACAAAGAACCCGGGAGCCTAAAATTTTGCCTCTCTTGTCCATTAAAAGTCTGACAGAACTTCCCCTGGTAAGAGCAGTTTCTCTGGGCTGCTCAATCCACTACTTGATTGTAGCTGCATTTCTGTAGATCTATCTTTATTCTTGCTTTCTGCTGCTGAAGGCTTGTTCTTTCTCCTACTTGTTTTTTCTGCGTTACTTTGGACTCAGTTATATTGTATTCTCCATGGTTTCCCTTTACCAAGAATGTGTGTTTGCCTTGCTCCTTGCTTGGTGATCTTTGAAGGTCTCTGACAATTCCTGACCACTGAAAAACCTCAGGCCATCCTTGTTGCTCAGACTTCTGGCCTCAGCTGCACCTTGGTCAAGTTATTGGATTCTCTTCTGGGTTAGAAGGTCCTCACTCAGCTGCAATCTCTCCATCTACCTTTTTGATCCTTATCACATAATTCCAGAAGCCATATCAACTTAAATGGGTCAAAAGAAGAGAGTAGAGAAAGGAGAGGCACCTGCAGTTGTTAGAAATTAGATGAAAGGCCCACAAGATCCAGGAAGACACATCCCATCTTCTTTCTAGCTGTCAGTTCTGGCAAGTAGTTTGTGTAACTAAGTCTCAGCAGACAAAAAAAAATGAGCATCTCTTTTTTTTTTTTTTGTGTCATCCAGTGCTTGTTAATGTAATTCGTGTGCTTTGAGTGTTAGGATTATTTATTATTAAACTAAGGGAAACATTGTGTGAGTCTGTCAGTCTTTCAGGAATAGCTTGCACCCTTGCACATGCCTTTCTCTTATATACAGTTTGGCACCTTTGAGCTCACTGTTTTTGTCTGTGCTTATTCTAAACTGAGAAGCTTAAAGAAATGCAGTAACAGTCACGGGGAAAAGGGAAACCAGGTATTTATAGCACTGAGCAGTTAAGCTTTCAGGATGGCTATGAGCATGTTTAGTGGCAAGCAGTGCCCTAATTCTGTAAGTGCTTAAGGACATCCTGCACTTGACACTTTAGGCAAGGGCTCTTGGCCCAGTGTCCCCCATGCCACCAGGGTTGTCTTTGAAAGGACGTTTGTGCTCAGAACAGATGTGTGAGCTACGAATCTGGGCTTGAGCATCACTGGATGTAGCTCAAGACCATCCAAGACCCATCTGGGTGCCTCAGCACAGCTGGCAACTTCATGTGGTGTGAGGATGGTGAGCCCGTGGGGAGGAGAGCACCTTCTCCTCCATCTGGATGGACAGGATGGTCTGCAGGGTGCAGAAGGGCTTGTCTGAAGGTGCCTGCTGTGGGGATGTTTGCAGATATGAGACTTGTCTGAGAGGGTACAGGGCTACATCATACTGCCAAACAGCAGAACATTACAGGTAACTTCTGAGCTTTAAAAAGAGGATATTTGCCACAAAAAATAATCTATGGAGCCTTTGTAGCAAGTGCTCGTTAATTCTGTCAGGTTAGTTGAGTTCTAGCCATCAAGAATTTTTTCCTATTTTTTCTTCTTATTTCCCCTTCCAGCACAAATTTGTCTTTTTTTTTTTTTTATGAGAAATATTTTTCTAGGATGCTCCACACACGTGCTCTGACGGGGAGTTAGTGTTCAACTGATCCTGTTAGCACTATGAAGAAATGCTGTTCCTGACAGACACTTTGATGTGCTAAACTAAATCCCAGAGGGCAGAGGTACCAAGAGGAGCCCTGCAAAACATGACAAAC